TGGAGCTTTACCTCAAAATTATGGTTAGGATTTAATTAAAATTAAGCCCTATGAGGAAAAAAAAACCCAAACTCAAAAAAACAAAAAAAACCAGCCCTATGAAAAAAAAAAAACCCAAACTCAAAAAAAAAAAAAAAAAAAAAAAAAAAAAAAAAAAAAAAAAAAAAAAAAAAAAAAAAAAAAAAAAAAAAAAAAAAAAAAAAAACCCAGCCCTGAAAAAACCTCCCAAAACCCCCAAACTAAAAACAAAGAAAACCCCCCCCAAAACAAACAACCTCACAAAAAAACCCCAAAACAAACAAACCCCAAAATAACCCCCCAAAACAAACAAACAAAAAAACCCCAAAAAACCCAAAAAACCCCACCAGAACAGCAAAAAAGAAAAAAGTAAATAAAGATCAAATGCTTTACTGAAGAGTAGCTGTTGTGAACACTTCATCTCTCAAAGAATGTGGTCTGAGAACTAAAGATATTTGCAAAGCAATTGCTTTTAAAATTGTCCATGAGATTTCATAGACAATGAGGTGCCTATGGGGAGTTAAGCTGCTGTACAAGTCTAATAATGCAAGAAAAATGCCCAATGCTGTTCTACTGGAGCAAAATATACCAGAATCTATTTTATTTGCAGAAGTGAAAATTTCCAAGCAGCTGAAACAGAGTGAGCAGACAGCAGAAAGCACAGCTGAGATAACACAAAATACAGTCAGCCAGGACTGTTTAGGATTTTGTGACTCAGTGCTGCTAGCAGGAAATGCAGAACAAAGCAAGACCATCATACACATAATTCTCTCATTTGTGAGAGATTACTGTGCTCCATCAGTCAAACAGGAATAACTGCTGGCTGAGTAGGAGACTCATAGTTGGTAATGCGTTAGATGAATCTCGGCAAGTAAAACTGTTAGGCTTTCAAAAAGAAAAGTCTTTAATTTCTAAAAAAACTCCTCTGGTCTGCTTCCTTTTGTTTTCCTTTTGGCTAAAAAGGATGGGAATGGCATTAGCTCAAAGAACATGGTTCGTATCAGGAGTTCTGCATCTATCCCATTTTTCTGTAAAAAACACCCACAAACTTAATTTACAAAAATATAAAACCATTCTACTGAAGAGATACAAAAGCATACAATGCTCTTGGTCAAGTAATTATCAGTTTTCTACCTGCTGTCACAGAGCTCTCTTGTGAGGAATGTTGGGAGAAGTGTATGCAAGAGTCATTATCTCTGTAAAGAGCCTGGTAATGGTGCAAAACCACACAAAACTACACCAAGCATCTTCAGCCATTTTTCAACAATATTTAATCATTGTATTCCAAACTTAATTCCCCCCCTACTCTGACACATAGAATCACAAGACTCTACCAGCAAAGAGGCAAGTTCCAGAGAGACATCATAAAGTAGATACACAAAAAGCAGTAATTCTAAATTGGCAAATAGAAGGATCTTGTCACCATTCTCAAATTTTGCACTCCCATCCCTGGAAAAAAATTCCAAAAATTTGGTGCTTTCAGAGAGTGCAAAAATCAAAGAAGTGATTCTTTCCCAGGCTTACACAGAAGAAAGCAGAAGACAGCTGAACTTTTCCATCCACACTTCTGGAAAGGTTTGTCAAAAGTCAGGGGAAATTTTTTATATAAATATACATATACAAAAATAAATACAAGAAATAACAAACTCATCTACTGTAGCACCCATTTCTGCTAAGTGTATTATATAAACCCAGCTATTTTAACACAAAAAAATTAGTTAAAGCCATATCTTTTCCTCGGTTCTGACTGCATATTCTAATTCAAATTTTATTCAACCTATACTATTTGCTAGCCTGGATTTGAATGTCTAAATTTTCTGTTCTAAATGTTGTCAAATCACTAATATCCTCTTGCAAGTAATCTTAATTTCTAACATAGTAATTTTCCCTGTAATGACTATTTAAGACTAGATGTTTACAATTTTCTACCATTTGGGTGACTTAAGTATATCATCTACTGAACGTCCTGCTCTTGGCAGTAATGAATAATTTTCTTGACAGATGGAATATGAAAAAAAAATACTAAATAAAACATAAATAGCTGGCAGTTATCCCTCAGAAATAAAAGGCCTTAACTTAAACGCAACCAGTATGTCATGTTCTCTGTAAAAACAAGGTCAAGAATTTAGTGATGCCTTTAACTAATGCCCTATTGCAGTGAAGAAGGCAGGCTATGAGGACAACATTCATTATTAGCCATTTCTCTTTTTTCCCCTCCTTCTCTCCTCTCTGCCAGCAACAGCATAATCCACATGTTCTCACAAAACTGCCTCTTAGTCCTTCCTGAAATTTACCTTGCCAACATCACATCTAATCAGATGTGACATGCACACCATGTATGGGCTCTGCTCACAAAAACAAAGAGGGCATTCTTAAGGGATCACTGCTTGCTGTATGAAATTGTTTATAAATAGATGTATGGGGAGGTGAAACATTTCAGACTGATTCTTAAGGGAATCTCAGTTCTGAAAAATGAATCCCACAGTAAGAATATGTGACTGCAAGGATAAGCTAAAGTAAATTAATGCAGCAACAACAGTAGTGATTTTCAGATTAATAGTGTACAGGGGGTTTTAGATATGTAAGAAATACAACTAAGCAGGAATTTTTAAGATGTGGAAATTACTAATAAGCAAGAAATAAATATATCAGTACTGTGAACATTTGAAATAACAATAACTCTGAGTTGAATTTAGATGAAATAGATAGATAAAGTTATTTAAAGCTATAAAACTAAAACCTTAATATCAGAATATCATTGATTGTCACTCGAGCCAGGGAAGCAAAAGCAGAATACGGCCAGTCACATAACCCCATTGTATTTCCACTGGTGCATCTTCCCAATCCAGCCCAGGGTTTGAAGGATGTTTTAGCCAGAAAACCCTTCTGAGACCTACTGGGCTGAGTCTGAGGAGGAGGAATCCATTCTTTGTGCACTTCACAAGACTTGTCTGGGGTTCATTAAGAATTAGGACCTGTAAGGAGGGGTTTTCTATCAGGTACCTGTTGTGTTCCACTGTCCCCACCCCAGAAGACACAAGAAGCTGCAGAGCCCTTCAGCTGCCCCAGGGGTGAGGGCAGCTCCCAGCTGTCCTCAGGGACACTCACCCTGCCCCTGCCCCTGCACAATTCACTGCACACAGCAAAGAACAAGGGCACAGCTCACATCCAGCATTCATCTGGTGCCAGTTCGCCGGGCAAAGAGAACGCTTGGAATGCACCGAGTCTTAAAAGAGATGTAAGAATCAATAATCTCAAATGTGAGATTGCTAGGTATATCAGAATACTAGGAGATATTTTCCTAAAGTGAAGTTTTTACCTAGGAAAAAAACTGTCTAAATATCTTTAACTCTGGACTGTAAACAAGTCCTCCAATAGAAAAAAAATCCCTTTTTAGAATTATTCTAAAACCATTTTGGATAGCATATTGTGATTGCAAGTATTGAAGAAAATAACTCTGGGAAATAAAGGCTCAAAGCATTAATAATGATTCCTCTAATTACATTGAACAGCTTTAAGTAAAAAATAGATACCATTTCACGTTATTGCATCTCATAAGAGACATTAAAATTGATCTGCTATTTATGCTGAATGAAAAGGAGGAAAGGTTTCACCAAAAACAATGAAGCAGTATCAACACCGGTTCAGCTCAAAGAAAAGAAACAATCAAAAACCTTCAAAACTTTAAACAAAGTATATTTCATGAAAGGTTTTAAATTTTCGAAAAACAAATGAACATCACAAAGAAACTTCCAGAAAATAAAACTTTCTTTTACTTGATTTTTCTAGGACAATTCTTTGCTGCTTACCAACCTTTTTAAAAAAAACAGAATTTACTACAGATGCTTAAAAGTACTCAGAATAAAAAATGCCACAAATAGCAAAAGAAAAAAAAAATAGCATTATTGAAGACATTAAGCCTAATATTTATTTCTAATTTATTCTAGAAGATAATAATAAAGATTATGATTTCAGAATCCTAAATTGAAAACTACACCAAAACCCTTGTTATGCTCGCTCTCACTCCACTAATATAACTGTGTGTTATGTAGCTGGTTTATATTTCACTCTGAACTGCAGCTGCCTTTCAAGGAACCAAGTATCTGTTGCTTCACTGAGCAATCACAAAAAGTGCAGACTTGCTGGCAGCCATAGTGCCAGAGCCTGAGCAGCTCCCACAGAAAACACAACTGGACACAACAAACTTTGGCATTTCCAATCCCCAGCTCGGCAGCGTTTTGTGTCGTTAACCCAGGCAAAGCTTTCCTGCTGTTTTGTTACCTACCCACACAGCACTGGCAGCACCTTTTGCAGCTATATTGTTAAATCCATTTCTCAGCAATTATTTATCCTGCTGACATCACTAAACAGACAATTTCCCAAGTTTGCAGAAGTCCAAGAGTGAAGGCCTTCTGTTGATTTCTCCAGCCACCCCTCTCCATAGAGTCATACAGAACAACAACAGGCTGTAAAACATTTCAAGTTATACCACTTCTCAGTGAAAACCAGAAAGCTGATTCATCTGGGTAGCATAGAAACCAATCTAATATTCAATCAAAAACATTTTTTAAACATATCAGTTAAACTATCAGTTCAGCTGTCATATACATTTCCTGTTTTTTCCTCTAATCCTCATGTTGTATTTCATATTTCAATTCCTTTGAAGAAGCAGTTCTAAACCAGGCTTTTAATCCAGAATATTTAAAATAATATTTACAGTCTTATCTGTTCTTAATACAAGTCTCTGAACTGTACTAAAAATAGCAATTTATTTCAAAAATTTGTAGAGAAAGAAAATCCTTAGATTTAGAATACAACCTTAGAATAGTTTTATTTTTCTGGAATATCATCAGTACAGCAATAAAAAGAAAATCCTTAAAAAACAAACACATGAAAAAGAGGAAGGAATGGTTTTTATTTTTACCTTTTAAATCATGGTTTAAAATGAAGAGACAGAAGAGTTAGAAATGATTCATACTGACCTGAGTCCATAAAGGACTGTTCCATCTGGATGCAGGCGAATCATTCTGTTCTTCACAGTAACACCATGAACAAATGATTTCTTGTCATTCAGGAAGTAGGTGTCGGGCACCCAGAGCTGATCAGCCACTCTGTTGTCCAGGGTAAGGTTTAGAGGTATCACATTATAGGACAGCCTCTTATCCCTCCACGCTTGCTGGAAGTACATTGTCAAAGTATAGTCCTGTGAGCAGAACAAACAAACAAACAGAGTTTGCACTGAAATATACATATGCAAAAAAATGGCAATGCAAATACACAAGTATTCATTGTGACTGTTCCTAAAGGCAAATATTTTTCAGAATTTCCATGAGTAGATTTATATATTTTTTATGCTACTGAATATCATGTATGCACTCAATAACAGCAGTGACACAAAGAAGATGGGGAATTTAAATTTTATGAATGACTTGGAAGTCCTCACTTCAAAATTTACAAATAAAATTGTAGACATTTAACAGCCTGTAGCAGTTTACAAGCCTGGGAATTCTAGGAAATAGGAACATTCAGAGATCCAAATTTAATTTCAAGGTCTCCATTGTATTCAACAGAGGTCTGGATCAAGTCTTCTGTCTCTGAAGTTGGAGTCACCACCCAAAGACTTGCCTAAATTAAAATTTCTTCAGAGTCTGTTAACTTTCCCCTGGGCACTGAAACCAATGGGAATTTTTTAAGGTTTCTAAGCTATACACTTAGTCTTAATTTTACAGATTAAGCAACTCTGGTTACTTCAGGGGGACAACTCAGCACAATTAGCATTTCAGTAATTATTCACAGTATTATGAAACTTGCATTGTTTTGATGCAGGTCACCACTCTACAGAGCTTCAGAGATGTTTTGACTACTTGGTTTTTTAAAGAATAATGCATTTACAAAGGTTATACCTTTGTCAAAATTGTTATCCAGATGCAGAATATTCATTATATTTAGCCAATGCTAAAAAAACCTCTACAAATAGTACAAAAAGTATATTGAGAGCAACCCTGGAGAAAGACTTGCATAAATGACAAGATTAGTTCTTATGTGCTGTTTTATATTGTAAAGGAGAGTCCACTATTTAAAGCAGTTTTTATTACAGTTGGAAAAAAAAAAATTATCTTCCTCCTGAACTACTTTAAAAGCATATTCCACAAGTGTATTTTACAAGCAATCTCATTTAAGAGGATATTTGACATATGAACACTATATAGAACTTCTCAGAAAAGACAAAAATAAATTTTTCTTATTCTGCAGTTTCACAGACTGAACAGCCCAGTAGGAGATCACTGAAATTGGGTTGCTGTAATTATTCTCTTTACAATGTACAATACCCACCCTTGAACTAGGGAGGGCCTGTGAGAACCATGGCTATTTCAGCAGAATTCTGGAAGCAATGACAGAACCTTGAAACTAAGTGACCCTTCCTCTTCTGAAGAACAGTGTGCACTCAGATGAATTAGTATAAACTATTTTTTTATAGAAATGTGCATTTCAGTGGTGGAAAGACACTTATTTTTTGCCTCATCCCTCCCCAAAAGAGCCCATGTACATGGGCTTGAAAATGCCTCTTCAATTTTCAGTGAAGCAGGAGGAAATGCATGTTCTGTTGTGAATAGTTACTGCATCTCCTCCTCACCAACACAAAGGACAGATGGTATTTCTGTCCCTCCAGTGCTCCTGGCTGCACTGGTCACAGGTCAGTCCCCTTCCCCTGCTGCAGCCCTGGCCATGCCTGGAGCCCCAGCACCTTTGGCTGGTGGCACAATGGTGACTCTGCAGGGACTCAAGTAGCAAAGCAACAAATGAGCCTTCCCAGCTGTTTAACTACCAAATATATTCACCTGATGCTGTTCTATAATCTGATCAGTTTTAACAATCTGAAACCACTTCCCACTCCCCAGGGTCAGGAAGAAATTCTGCTTGCAAGAGCATTCCACCTACAGCTGAAGAATTTTACTGTTATGTTTCATCACTGTTCTGCAGGATTTGATTAATAACCAGAAATCAGAAAATCTTCAGTAGGAAAATTTATTAGTCTTCATTATATTAACATATCACATCATCAAGTAATGATAAGTAGAAATTACTTCACTATTATCCTTGGAATGGTGCATTTTATTCCTATTCCAAGGAATAACCTACATGTATCAATATACTGCATAAATACATAGAACATTCTTTCTTTTTACACCTCAGTAAAAGAGGAAAAGAAGAGGAGGAAAAACCCTAAACATACATGGCTCATTGCATAGAAGTGAATTACATAAAACTGTAAATTTGGAGCACTGGCATTGCTGGAAGAAAAGCCAAGTCACCAGGCTGGAGTTTCAAATCAAACACACTGTGTTCCAGAAAGAGCTGGTGTTCTGACTGGAAATTATTTATCATCTGTTGGCCCTAGTTTTCAGATGTGACTGGAGTTTCTGATGGCCAAAACAGAAATTCTTTAAAATTGTTATAAAACCCTCATAGGCTTTTGAATTTAGGTTTTTATTTTTAATGATAATTTTAAAAAACCAAACAAATATGTTCCAAGCTACATATTTCAAAGTGAAATTGATAAGATGGGAAAAAAACAAAATCTGTCACATAAACTGTGATTTATTCCTTAGAAAGGAGAGAGGCATCTGTTTTCAAAATCCCAAATGAAAGAGTAATTCAAAAAAGGTGTGCAGGTACAAAATGTCCCTAAAGTATCCCAAGACCCTTTACTTGTTGACATTAAGAACACTCTCATCTAATAGGAATACTGCAAGAACAGAAGTCTGTTAAACTCACATTAAATATGGGCATTCTCCTTTATTCTAGGGATAAATATCAAAACAAACATGTAAATATCTTCCCTCTAGGAAGAGAGGCACAGAAAAAAAGTAGAGGAATAGAAGTAAAGGATGATTTTATTATGTTAAAGTTTAGCATCCTTTTAAATTCACAGGATGGGATTTTTAGAACCTGTAAGTTTGAAGAGGAAACAGGAGCAAATTCCTTTTCACAGCCTTGCACAAAGGACTAATTCTAATGAGCTGAGAGAACTCCAAGCCCAAAGCGCCTGATGATGGTGTCTGTGTAAACCGTGACACAGACACCAGCTACAAAGGGACAGACTGTTTGCAGCACAGGCACACAGACACATTTCTCCCACAGAAATAAAGAGGTTCCTCGCTTGCCCTGCACATGAAATGCTGTATAAAACTTATGAGCATTGACAAAGTTGCAAGAGAAACCTAGAATATGAAGAAGCAAGCATATTTTCTGTAAGTAATATCCATTTTGTAGTTTTCATTATTTTTAATGATTCCATCATTATTCCATTGTTTGCCTAGATTTATATGTAATAAAATTTTTTGTTCTGTCCAGAGCAAAAATTTAGGCATCATTACCCCTATTCTATTGTGATCAAAGATGGCACTTTTCCTCACCTCACCTTTCCACATTCCCTCTTCTTTATTTCATACAATGAACAAAAGAGAAGCAAATATAAGACAAAGTTAATGTTTATGCATAATTTTCCATATGAATAAAAAAGTATCAAACAGTTTCATTAATATTAGCATATTCATGAGCAACTTTTATTCTGCACATTAACTCTGTGCAGTGGTTGCCTGCAAACATTTTAGCTGCTGGAAGTGTAAATACTCTGAGGATTTAAACTTGTATTGAGAGAAACAGAAGTATTACAGACAGACATGGTGTCAGTGAATGACCAGTAATTTCAATTATGTAACAGAAGATACTGGACAGGAAAGCATAAAATCTCAATACTGGCATTCTTATTTATATTCTCACATTTCATTCATGCTCTCAAATAAATGTTTAAGTAGAGAAAAAAAAAAAGAAAAATCAGTTCGAGCCTATTACTGGTTTAAAAAGATTAGAACACAGGTCTGAACTAAACCTACCCATGGGCCAATAACTGACATATTGCTGATCAAGGCAAAAAAGGAAGTAGAGGTCATGAATATTCACAATGACAGTGGGTGTCTAATGCAAAAGCCTCTACCAGATGTAAACTTTTCCAAAGCATGATAATAAGGTCCAATGTGAGAAAAAGCATTAAAAATATAGCTCCTTCTTCTGCATTACACAAATCAGGACTGATTCACACTGCAGCTTAAGACTGTAACCAAAACTTGTATTACAGGGCTAGAAAACAGCTACTCAAACACTGCAAGCAATAAAGGCAGGAAACTTCAGAGGAGAAAAATAAGCAGAAAGAATATACAATAAATAATGTATATAATATACATGTTGTACATTGTAAACATAGTATAAGACAGAGTGAAGTTGAAGAAGCTACTTATCATTGCTTTGCAGTAATGAATTCAGAACTCATTTGTGGTTTGGCTTAAGTCCACTCCTCATCACATTCCTGGTTATTACTAATTTATAAAAAATACTTTACTACATTTCCACATAAGGGTATTTTAAAACAAAATAATTCCCTTCTGAAAATGCTTGAAGGTGAAGATTTTGCCTGATATTTATTTAACATGCACATTTAAAAAACTGCTTGTTGATGACATTTAAAAGTGCTGATTGACAATCCTTTCAATCCTCTTTTTATTTAAAACCAGCACTACAACATGTTTGATTCAAAATTATCTGTCTCAGTCTCTCATTGATAAAAAATAATGTAAAAAGTCTGCTTAATGCTGGAGACACCACAAAGTGCACAGTGACTTACTAAAAGTAGAAAGAGCTGTTGAAGGAATGGGTGATACCAAAGAAAAGCCAAAATAGTCATATGCCCTTTCAAAAAATGTATTTTTCACATTCTTTAAATCTTTACTTCAAAATAAACAAAAAAAACCCCACAAAACAAATAAAAAAGCCAGAAATAATGACATCAGGAACCTCACACAGAATTCAAGTTGAATTCTCTCAGTCTATCAAATCCAACTTCCCAAGCTGGCTTTAAATCTGTGAAACACTTGTAATTAACTGAGTCTCCTGAAACATTCTAGGGGAGTTTTCCTTGATGGGAATTATATCTTCACAAGTTTATAATCGTTCCAAAAAGAAGATCCCAACACCAAGCTTACCATTTACTTTGCTGTGACTCTCCTGGAATTATTTATCAGCAATTCTCATTTGTCAGCTGAGCAAAGCAGTCAGGATGGGCTGCTGATGTCCCACCACAGTTCTCAGAAGAACACAGTGTTATAGAATCAAGCAAGATACTATTTGGGTATTATGAAAAATGCA